CACATATATGTATATATATATATATATATATATATATATATATATATATATATCACATATATTGTATATATATATAGCATTGTTCTATCATAGGTGATAGACACAAAATCAAACTTCTTCTAAAATTATATGTATATATTATACATATTTCGAATGTACATTTCCAATTATGCTAACCTGACAAGTTTTGGAAAAATCGCACTAGTAGTTTTTAAAAAAATTAGCTCTCAAAATTTTAGCTTCCCAGTGTTAATTGAATTTTGTATATATTTATTAACGTCTCTTTTTTTATTAAACTTATTTGATATCTTTTCTGTTATAATTTGAAATTTACGCTGAATCAAAGTTAAATTCGCAGGTATTTTCTGACTTGTTTTTAAAATTTGTATTTTTAGCATTTTTTATAAATTTTGTAAAAGATTTTTGAATTACAAACTATCAAATTTTTACTATCATCTTAAAGTAGATGTATTTATATGGACACCTGCAAAAAAATAGAGTTACTTTTGAAGACATACGTAAATTTATATATTGGAGCATTTTGAAATTTGGCATATTTTTATAAAAGATAAAGCGCCAAATGTGTTTTACTCACTTTGTTAAATTTATTTGGAGCTATGAATGATGCACCATTTTTTCCCCTCATGCACAATGAAAAAAGGCAAAGAAAAATAGGTTGCCATAAATTAAGAATTTTAGCATCTAAATTATTCTTGTCGAGGTTAAAAAAGTGCGCCAGGATAATGTTTTCCTTAAAGTTTCTCACCAAAGTTTACAAAATTTAATATTTGGGCATAATTTGAGTCCTAGAATCGAAGTATGGATAACTCAGCATGCTGTATGGATAGCATCGAAGTATTGATAACTCAGAAAAGTCCGATCGAATTTTTCTCAAGATATCAATGTTACATTAATGCAATATATAAATATGATACATATTTTAAGTTGTGAGCTTTGGGTGCATGAAAATGCAAGTTAAATTTCGTCAATCGCCGCAATAAAACGGGAAATATAAAACTGTCTAATTTTTTTCTGCAAGATACACATCCATCATGAACATCATAAACTACTTCTATAAGAGTAATATGATAAGAACTAATCTTAAAATGACCCAGTTTGAGGTAAGCACGTTAAAAATTTTAGAAAAAAAAAAGAAAAAGCCAAATTAAACATTAAACTTAAGGCGCTAGTATGAATTAAATTTAGGATTTTGCCTTACATGTATATAGTACTCCGTTTTCGTGCAAAAATGGAGCGATAGTTTTCTGAACCCTATAATTTAGAAAGATTTAAAAGGACAAGCAATTTTATAGACACAGAGATTTATGAAAAACCACCGTAAATGTAATAAAACAATAAAAAATTGTTTTCTTATTTAATAAAAAAGTTCGTCTACGAAATCCCTTAGAATAACTTTTTTGTTATAGTTAAAATAAAATGAACACTTGCTAATTAAATGTAAAATGTAATGTGTCGCCACATGTACAAGACAGGCTGAATTGATGCGCAAAGTATTGTAAATGTTTAAAAACAATTTTCAGACCATTTGTTTATAATAATTTATGTTTAATACATTCTAAGGCAATAAAAAGATGCACCACGTAGCAGTTACCCGAATAGGATGAAAATCAGGAGATGCGATGTACAAGTACACAAAAACAATGATTACAACTTCAGAAAACTTAAATTATTTATTCAGGAGAAAGCGCTTCGCAAATTGAGCAAGTCAATAACGTGCTGGTCAACCTCTGGCCCTTATGCAAGCAGTTAGTCGGCTTGGAATTGATTGACAGGTTTGGCGAATGTTCTCCTGAGGGTTAGTATGGCAGATTCTGTCCAATTGGAACGTTAGATAAACAACATACAGAGCTGGTTGGAGAGCCCTACCAAAAATGCTCTGAACATTGTCAATGGGGAAGAGATCTGGCGAACTTGCTGGCCAAGGTAGTGTTGAGAAAGCACGAAGGCAAGCAATAGAAACTATCGCCGTGTGCAAGCGGATATTATCCTGCTGAAATGTATACCCAGCAGGGAGTGATATAAAGGGCAACACAACGGGGGTTAGAATATCGTTGTCATACCGCTGTACTGTAAGTGTGCCGCGGACGACAACCAAAGGAGCGTAGTATTAAATGAAATGGCACTTTAGACCATCACTCCTGGTTATCGAGTGATATGGCAGGCGAGAGTCAAGATGGTAAGATGGAATCCCACCGTTGTCTCCAGTTCGAAGCGGGGTTCATTATTGAAAAGAAAACTCTACTCCACTAAGTGACATTCCAGGTCGAATGTGGCCGACACCAATGCAAACGGGCTTTTCGTTGTTCAGAGATTAATCGCAGTCGGCGCAAAGGGCCTTGAGACCTTAGCCCCCTTTCTCTGAGCTGTCTATTAATGGTACTTGCGATCATTGAAGAATTATCTGCAAACAGAACCGATGATAATCATGAATCTGCGGCTCTTTGTGCCGGTCTCAGAAATAATCTGTCCTCACGTACTGTCATCTATCTAGGTCGACCGCTACCTTCTTGACGTTGTAGTCGGCCATGGTTCACCCATTCCTGGCAACATCGTCTAATAGTGGCATCTTTCATATTAAAATGTCCAGCGATTCGGCAATTCGAAGAACCTTGAACCCAAATACACGTCTAATCTCAAACGCGGAAATCTGCGCTTTTTATTTGCGTACCTAGATGCGAGTCTTAGTTACTGTCTACCTGAGTACAGAGTGAAATTCGTAAAGAATATATGACTTGGAATCGAAATTTCTGCTCTTCGTTGTCCTGCCAGTTGCGCATTTAAGATGCGCTGCAGCACTACATATTAATTCATTGGCTGAGGAACTTTAAAATTTTCCATTTTTTTTTAAACCTGTATGCATATCAGTTTATATATAATTTGCTTTATTCTTTCTTTGTGCGTCTTTTCTTTTGGTCTTAGAGTGTACAAGTACGTAGTAACATTTATTTTCAGCATTATCTATTACATAAATATAATTTTAAGACTTATTTGATTATTAAAATGTCATTTCTAGTAAGTCAGTTTCAGTATATGTTTCAAAAGATTTGACCTCTTTCATTCAACAATGATTATTTCGTTAATAAAGATGTTAGTTTGCAGATTTTTCAGAAAGTAACGACCCAGCAGTTTTACAATAGATCGTTAGATCATTCTTACAAAACAGGTAAAAATATTAACGCACTCTCAACTCATGTCCAGAAAACAAGAGAACAAAATGAATATTTAAAATTAAAAAGTGTGTTTTTACCCGGGAGCGAAACACATGATTTTCGTTACTTACATTTATAATGAGAAATACTTGTACACGTAAATATATTTATTCAACAGCGAAAATAGCAACAGTTCCAAACGGATAACGGTTACTTATTCCTGCCATATTTCAGGCAACATGAGTCTTAGGTTTCGGACATCTTATTGTTTTATTCGAAGCAATAACTGTTCAATATGCATCAATGAAATTTCATGATACTACACAGACATATAGATGCAGAGTTAAGCAGATATATGGATTGGTATTCATTTGATCCTAGTATTTGCATTGAATCAGAGTCTGATGCGAACCAATTAATAAAGCCTTATAAGAAAAGTTTCTTATATTATGGGAATCAAATGCTAAATCCTCTGTTACGCCTAATGATAAAAACAATCAACTAAAATATTTTTTATTGAATACATAAAACCTGGAAGCTTTTTAAGTTAATAATTTTCTTTTTAAAGGCTAAACCGAGTATTCCTTTGAATAATCTCAAATATCTAAGATTTTATTTTTAATTTTTGGCGTACCAAACAATAAAAAGACTATACTGAAAAGCGTGAAATCTAAAAATATTTTAAACCAAGATTATAAAATTTCGATTTAAACTTTTTCCATGCTCAAACACTTTATACTTTTCATTATATGCATTATAAAATAAGTATGCTATAGAATACAGATTATATTTAAGAAAGTTTTTATAATTGCTTTCCTGCGTTAGATTTCGCCGTTGTAATTAATTTAACATAGATATTTATAAATCATTCTGGTAAAGCCTGTAAATTACTTTTGTAAGGATAAGCTAAAAATTATCATTAAACTCAGATTAATTAAGAAGATAATGATGCCAATATGAAATTTAAAATTACGCAGAATGTAACCTTAAGTGATAGCTGATGTTAAAGAAAAAAATTATCTGTATAGATATTGAATATTAATAATACATCAGATAGAAAATATCATATTGAAAGATCTAATAATATTATAATTACTGATTATATCAAGAATTCGAGTATATTATTAGATTTTGTATTTTTTTCCTATTTCCGGCGGAGTATTTTTGTTTCATGAGGAAACGCAACAAGCTCATGTTTTCGAAATATTTAGGTATTTTCATTACAACCAAAATCATTCTTAAGTTTTAAAATTGTTTAACTATCACTTGTTCTTTATTATGAGCTATCACAGTTTTCTAATATATTTAGAATACTATATATATATATATATATATTTAAATATATAGAAAATGTATAAATACATTTTATACGAAACTTTATTAACTGAATTATAATTTTCAATTGCATTTTTCTCATGTAGTTTTAACCTTCAATACGGATAATGGTTTTCTCCAAAACCAAAAATTTCCCAAAACTTCCATAAAAACATGCTATTACTTTGTTTATAATATCAGATTGGCCCTTGGAATAGCTGCACTTTTTCTAGTGAATTTACTGCCTTTATTTATTGGAGACGTTTTAAGATGTAGGCATATAAATACTCTAGAAAATATGGGTTAAGCCCTAAATGTATATGGCTTTCCGATTGACTGTTTTAATGTAACTTTCCGTTTCATCGTTTATCTTATTATAAAAAATTCTTCAGATGGTATTTGATTTCGTCAATGAATTTCCGATTCATTCATTAAAAGGTATAAATTCTGTAAAATCAAAACATGAATTCTTTTATTTGTTTGCACGTGTATCTAAATTAACGTGGAAATACTTACCTTGTACAATACTAATCATAAAAATGAACATCCAAATCATAGACATCCCATTCCAATATCTTCCTTTGTTTAGCATCACTATTACGTTTCACTTCAAGAAAGAACTAACTCATGAACTGCATGAATACCATTCGAAGCGCTGAAAAAGCAGGCGGTTCAGCAAAAGTCTTTTCACGGTTATCCTTGGACTACGTGCTATCGCTTCGCCGCTCAGCGCGCGTGTGCTGCCGGAAAAGCAGTCTCCCTGTGGTTCACCAGAGTTCGGTGGCGAAGAGCATGCGCAATGGCATGCCACGTGGTTTCGTACTTGACAGGAGAGGTTTTGCTTATTTTCTTTACCTTCGAGTTTCTGTAATTTCTCGTTGTGTTTCGCGATAAGACTTGATCAGTCTTTAGTTATTTTGTGGTTTGCTTCCAGCTGATTATCATTGCGTACCTTTTACTTTTAAACAAAATTTGAAACAATAGTTCATTTAATTATATATTATTAACAGAAGATTTTAAATCAAAGATCAAATGCTTCGTTTATGTCTTAAAAGTCTTTAGCGTATGAGGATATTATACAAAGTACGAGACATTGAGAAGCAAAAGTAGGTAAGATGCAGAGAACTAAACGTAATTGTTTGAAAATTTGTCTTATTTGTTCTCACAAAATTTGAAAAAGGAGGAAATATTTAATTAAATATCAAAGCTCCCTACAGAGTATATGTTTCGTCAAGTATTCATAATTCTAATATCATAATAGTAAAAATAAAGCTAGTATAATAAAAATAAAGCAAAATAAATAATAATAATAATAAAATAAATAATAATAAATAAATAATAATAAAATAAAGCATAGTAGCTCTCGTTATGGAAACCACATTTCTAGTTGCACCCACACAAGTTGTTACCATTCATACACAACTTCGTTATTGAGGAAAATAAAATTTATAGTTTTAACTAAACAAAAAGCAGTTCAACTTAAAATTTAGCACAAATAATGATGAAAATATAGGTAACTGCAGTTTCTGTGTAGCTAATCAAGCACTGTGAGCGTTCATGTAATGATACGCACAGTAGAAGTTACAATGCTTCACATCTTAATTAAAGTGTAAGCTCAAAGAGAAAAAAAGTAAGCATCGTAACAGGTTGACGGTGAATTTGGCTTTCTATTTAGACTTCGTAAAAGTTTCCAGTTTTTCTGCACAACAATACTTAATTATTTCTGTTCCCATCCTAGGCTAGGATAAACTTATTCCGACATCCACCTTACTTCTCTCGATCCCACATTCCAGCTTGCATGTAAAGCAATGTAAATTTTCTCTGTTTATCGTAGGATGACAATATTTCATGAGGACGGGTAACACCAAGTGAACAACGTCTGCTGATATGACATTCAGAGCAAAAGAAATAATGTTTTTAATAATTTCCAAAGAAAATGCTCCAATAGTAGATGAGATTTCAGAAGCAAAATTCAAAATAATCTACTAAAGAAGGCCCTTAATACTCTCAGAACTTTTCAACAGAATGTTTTAGTATGAAATTTCCAACGATATCTTAAAAATTAGCCAAGATGCTTTATTCCTCAAGTACAAAATACCCACATATTATAATTAAAGTCTTCCCTCCTACCACCCCATCCGCCTTTTATTCACTCTCGAAAACTTACAAAAAAATTCTCTGCAGCTATACGAATTTCAAAATCCTCAGACGCCCTCATGTATATGAAAGATAGTATTTTGACAAAAAATTAAAAGTATATCACTTGAAAACCTAAGAGCGCATTCGATACCCTCTAGAAGCCTGCAAATTTTAGTTCCGTGCGAGAAACAAAATTCCCCTTCAGCATCTACTTCATTTTAGTAAATTACATCAACAAGACAATTCTTAATAACTCATAACACTTGGTCCATCAATTAAGATAGAGGTTACCCACAAGGTTCGTGTACTGGAACTACTTTGTACAACTTAATTATTAGCAGCATCATCATTGCAGAAAGATCTCAATTGTTATTGTCTACTATTAATATTGTACTACTATAACTATTATATTAATTATAATAGTTAATTATATTATAATTAATAATACCTAGTATAACTACAAGTATTATATTATTAACCTCAAGATTATTGTTCAAAGGTGCGCAGATGTATTGCTTACTATAACACAGCAGTTAATCAGACAGAGTACAAGAAACGGACAGGAGCGAAAAAAGTATTAAACAAGTAAGCTCTTCTATGTTCTCTATATTCGATATGCGTTTTCAAATCAGCAACTCCTAAACCCTGAAATAAAACAAAACTTAGAAGTAAGACATATTAGAATAAAGGTGCATAGAATGAAATCACCGAGATACTGAGATGCCTCAAGCTGATATGGGCCCCAGGTGAAGAACATAATAATACCAATAACACACCCCAAGTGTCACGCTAAACTGACTTCAGAAATTTCAAAGTAAGGCATTAATTCACAGCTACTAAAAATCACCTACTCAACAGTCGCCGAAAATAATTCGAACTTAGGCAGCTGCAGTCTCATGATTATCAATGCAGAGTAAACAATTAGAGCAGCAATAAAGCATCAAAAGACCCTTTGTCATAAATATGGAATTAACAATTGCATTACAATCTATACTAACTTCTACTTACACAACTAGCAATTTACAGAGCTCGTAGATCCACTCAGAGCAGAAATGTATACATCTGTAGTAACAGTTCGACAGATCCATTACGAAGTACCATTATTACACAAATGAATCAAATTAATATAATGAAATTCTCTGCGCCTTTATTCAGTACACTAATGAACAAAAATATTGCACATGGGTAACAAAACTAACATACAAAATAGCATCTTCCAAGAAGAAGCGTTGTTGTCATAGCCCTGTATTCACCTGTCACCTGTTGTCATACCTAGTAAAGCACTAGCTATGGCAATAATTCAAGCAGTAATTTAGTGACACTAAAACGCCAGTATCTACAACGGCAAAATCTCAGTGCCATCCTACATTCACTCCACTATTCTTATAGCTTCAAAAATATTCAAAAGGATATATGACGTTTCAAAAGCTTTAATTTATATCTACACCGGAAAGTGGCACATACCAGAAATCAAGGAATGCAGCGAGAAGTTTTATCTGGAGGAATTTGTAAATCCCTTGGTTCTAATGAAATATAATAGCTTACAGTTCTAAAGCGGTACTATGGCAGACAGATAAACAGAATAAGCCTATGCAGGTAGCCCCATCAAAATGCACTAATTCTGCAAACCAGATACCTGTTTTAGAATATATAACAAGTGCCCAAAGATCCTTACTTGCACGACCCCATAATTTCGAGCTAAATGAGAAAGAAAAGTGGGACACCGGTGAAAAATTAAAAATCTTTGTTTTAAACGTGAACATCAGTATTTGCATATGTTTACATAAAAACATGTTCAAAATGTCAATCACGCACATCGAGACATGCATGCGAGCGTCTTGGAATCGCTGATTGCACACGTTGCAGAAGCGTGGCATCTACCAAAATACATGCAACATGTAGACAAGCAACAAAGGCACTTTCTGTAGTAAGTAGTCTTAATATACTATGGGGATTTATTTAGTTTCATTAACAGTTAAATTTTAGTTGTAGCAACTTTTCTTTCAGTCTCGTTTTCACGCGCGCTTTTTTGCTAGAATGCTAACAAGCTAGCACGCCTGTATTCAAATAAGATAGAAAGAAGTGCTCTCTCTGAGCATTACGGGTTTAGCCCTGAAATTTCAAAGTTCCTCAAAATGTCATGAATAAGTGATATTTTCTTTATTTTCATTAAAAAATGACTCTCTCATTTTGTACCTTGATTCCTTTTCTTCTAATGTACATCCAAACTGAAATCAGATACATTTAAAAGCTAGCAAAAATTTTCATGTACTATATTGAATATAGAAGACAGATTTCTGTGTGGAATTTTCCGGCCATAACGCTGAGAGGGTTTTAAGGGAAGGTTTTGAAAGGCCACGTTGCAATTTTGATTCTGTGGCGTTGAATGCTTCCAGCAATTAGGCTTGTTTCTGCCGACTTCTACGAATCAGAACTTTCATGGGTGTTAAATTGTCCTGTGAACTGTTAGAGGAAATTTAATACATTTTATTTTAAGTTCAACGTTATCTCTTTGATATAAGCCAGTAGTGTTGGTTTTGTGTAAGCTCAAGTGAGCCATCTGTGCAACTATATTTCATTGAATAAAGAGTTCTTTACACCCTCCTTCTGACTTTCTGTAATCATTTAGACCTAGGAATAATTCTTTATACATTCTTTTAGAGCTTATTAGTTTATGTTACCAAAAGGAACGAAACACTTTAAGACGAATTCCTGCCGATAGACTCGAAGGAAAAAATCCAAATGTGAAAGATGTGAAGATCGCAGCTGATATAAAACTGAATCCCCACATCCAATCTAGCAGTCTGGATATTCCATATTTAGCCAGTTACGTTCAAAAGTGTTGAATTGCGCTGAAGCTCAATCACGCTGTGGCATGCTGGCGATGTGACAGATATGGCAGTAATACTTTTCTTTCGCATTTATATAAAAAATTATGGGTCATGCAGATACAGATATTTGGTCATTTCTTGTGCATTCCAATCGAATAAGCTAGCTGTGCAGAATTGAAGGGACAAACAAATTTAATGTGTTTGTTTATATTTTGTATTAAACAAAGGCATATATACATGCGCGTGTGTCTATATATAGATATAGATATAGATAGATAGATAATTTATTTACTAAAGAAATTTTGATTATATTATCTCCTAATATAAATTTAGTAGAATGTATCAAAAAGAGGGAACCGATATGTAGATAGATAGATATGTGTGTGTGTGAGCATAGTGTTGCTGAGTTCGTGTATGTGCATATCTATAGTTATCTGTATATATGGACAACACGTATAAATATGGTTTAAAATCTTATTATTAGCACAGAAAAAAGTTTCCCCCGAATGATTCTTTAAATTGTATTATGAGTGCTTTGAACATAGAATGGATTAAGAATTTACTTCTCAAGCAATCACCTCATTTAGTAATTTCTTAATTATATCTTATATTCAATTATATTTCTTCAGTTTCCTTCCATTAATAAAAGGATTAAACAAGCATCTACATTTACCCATATATCTCATTCCACTGCATAAATTTCCATGAGCTTTTAATTATCTTGGTTGATGTAGCGTGATAGCGTTTT